GTACTTGGTCAAGGAGCAGGGGTAGATTGGTACGGTTCGAGTCATTACCGCAGCAACCTCTTAGGTCTAAGAGCGTCCAAAGAAAACTTCGCCATATCTACATCACTTATCAGTTTGTTCCAATGGCCACCAAGGAAGATATTGAGAACATCAACAAGTCCATCAAGGCAACAATTGCCATGATGCAAACGATCACTACCAAAGTCAACACAGTAGAGCAAAATAATGTTACTACAGGTGCAATGGACAAGATCAAAGAGCAAATGAGCAAGATTTCTGAGGATTTCACCTATGTGGAATGGCCTCCCACTCCTTTGGATATGAAGGACAGACTGCCTGAGAAGTTCTCCACTGCTGATATCCCCAAGTTCAAGCCAACTGACAACCCAATGTTCCATTTGAAGACGTTCTCTGCAACCATGGCTTTCAAGGGACTGGACGTAACACTCTTCCCTACGATGTACCCTCTCTCCTTAGAGCATGCTTGTCAACAATGGTTTTATTCTCTAGATGCCAAACACATTGCAACTTGGGAAGATGTCACCGAAAGTTTCATGAAACGTTACAAGTGTAATATTCAAGCTAGAACTTCTGAACGTGAACTCTCCATTCTCAAACAGAAAGAGAATGAAGGCTTCACCGCCTATCTGAAAAGGTGGAGGGAAACAGCTGCACTCTTGGTAGATCCTCCCAAAGAAAAAGAGATGATTCGCCTCTTTATCCAAAATCTGACTCACAAGTACAAGCAACATCTCAAATTTCTTCCATTGAACACTTTCGAAGCTGTATATGATATTGGCATCAATATCGAAGACGAGCTAATAAAGACTGCTGGTAGTAACAATAACAACACTTGGAAAAACAAGAAGAACGACCTTCCTTCTTCTTCGTCTTCTAAGCCCGAAAGTACTACCAACAATGTATGTTTGGTCGATCTCAATGAAGTGTTAGCTCTTAATTCTCCATTGCCCAAGAAAAGGAGAACCTACACTCCTTTAGGAATGACTTATGATGCGGCCTTTGATCTTCTTTATGGTCAAGGCTTGATCACACCTATTGGGCCATTTCTAGAGCCTAAACCTTAAGAAAGGAGCGCCAAGTGGAACCCCAACGCCCATTGCAAGTTCCATCAAGGAAGGGGTCACTCTACCGAACAATGCTGGAATTTGAAGGATGCTATTCAGGATCTTGTTGATGCCAACAAACTTCCAGTCCCTCCAGGTGGTAAAAAGTGACAAGCAGCAATGAAGACAAGGCGCGCGGCGAGCTCTTCGTGCAAGATTTCATGATCATTTTTTATTCCCGGCCCTTTCCCCCTTTTTAAGTCTAGCATATATTTCCCTCCCTAAGTTTAGTGTTTAGATTTCCTTTTTCTATAATTTGATAATTTTGTTAGCTTATTCACCATTTCCAGCAATAATATGAGCATTATTCCTTTATATCTCGATTATAGCAATTTTCATACAAAAAAAAAAAAAAAGAAAAATCAATTGTCGAACTAAACACAAGGTACATCAATGATTTGAGGCACCTTTGCAACCCTATCATTCCCCTTAAACCATTTTCATTCAATCACATATCCATTTCTTCATCAACCACTTTGAGCCTCGTTTAACGTTTGGCCTCATTTATTCAACCCACATTCACCTAACCCTGGGATGGGAAGGTGTGCAATTTGTGTAACAGTAAGAAAGAAAGTTCAAATAAAAAGAAAAGAAAAAGAAAAAGTAAATAAAAAACAATGTCTAAAGGCAAGTGTTCCAATGTCTTTGATATGAACACGTCTCAAATTGCGTCTCTCATCGAGTGCTTGGTACCGTGCCTGAGAAACATGAATGCTAAGTGAGTGATGGACCGCATGATCTGAGATTGCCTACATTGATTCAAAAGAATGAAAAAAAAGAAAGAAAAGAAATTCAAAACAAAAAAAATGTGAAAAATACAACTTGCGAATTCAAAATTTTCAAATACACAATTACACATCTCGAGGGGATTCTCTCGGGTCTTGAGCCTTTTACCCCTTTCTTCCTTAAACCATCATTTTAACCACATTATAACCCTTGAAAGACCTCTTTGAGGTGTACATACACTTGTGCAAAGTTCGGTTAGAGCTATGTTCGGCCTGATTCCTAAAAGATACGTAGGCAACCTCACATTGAGGTGCAGCCACATTCATATTCATATCTATGCATGATCGAGTCAAAGAATATCCAATGCTTATCCTTACCCATTTAGAGCTAGACTTGGGGGCTTGAACCCTTATCACTTAGCTTACCCAGCCTAAAGAGTCACCATCTCGACTCTTCTCACATCTATTTCCATCACCATAACCTTTGCAGCCAACCTTAGTATCACTTTCACACACTTCACTCACACATACATAGCCATATCATCTTTCCCTTTAATAACCCTTTATCATGAAATCTTGTTTCAACACTGTGCATGTCATCATCTTTCAAGACAACATTTATTAGAAGAAACATTGTATACTTGCCTAGCTTCCTGATCTGAGCAATATTCATTGTTTCACGCATCGCATAATGCGCTGAGCAACAATTATATGTCAATGATTTTTGATCATACAAAGCATATCGTGCTTAGCTCATTGACCTAAGAAACGTTCATTATGCAATAATCACTTCATCTATATACGTGCTTAGCTTCTAGACCTAAGTGATGTTCAAGATCGCTTCTTTATAACATATATATGATGCTTAGCTCCATGACCAAAGTTCATTCATCTATCATGTCACATGATGTAATTGTCCTTAGCCTCTTGGCCTAAGAACATGCATCATGCATACATTATTTTCAAGACAAGCAATTCAATCCATACGATTCATTTCATCTTGCTCAAGAAGGAGTTCAAAACTTCTTCCCTTTTTCATTATTTTCTTTTGGGGAAGTTCACAAACTTTTTCAAAATTTTTATCGAGGGAAGTTCGAAAATAAAATTTCATTTTTCACGTCTTTCTTTTTCTGGAGAAAGTCGGTACCCTCCACTCGTCTCATGACAAAAATGACGAATTTTTTTTGCTTTTTGCATTGTTGATTGCTTGTGTTTTCTCATACATTTAAATCATACTTATACACACACAACCACAAGTTATATACATGTCATGTCGTGTCAAGTTAAACTTGATCAAGTCAGTTGGTCAAGTCAATTATAGTCCTATACGAGTCCCTTGGCAAATTTTATTTTGCAGGTTTTAATCACACCCCACATCTACGTCCGGGGACAAGCGGACCATCTACAGACAAGCGGACCATCTACAGACAAGCGGACCATCTACAACCCACGTCTGGGGACAAGCGGACCATTTATAGCCCACGTTCGGGGACAAGTGAACCATTTACAACCCACGTCTGGGGACAAGCGGACCAACTACAGCCCACGTTCGGGGACAATCGAACCACCATCATTTCACGGCGCAAGGTTCTCGATACACAAAGACTTGCAATCTCATCATCAGACAAGTTTTTCCTCAAGCATAGAAAATTGTCATCTATCGACTTTCCTCAAGCATGGAAAGTATCTCAACCGGTGGGTTTCTTCAAGCATAGAAAACTTCCAACATCATCTGTCGACTTTCCTCAAGCATGGAAAGTATCATCCGGTGGATTCCTTCAAGCATAGGAAGCTACCAAACTCATTTGTCACCGATACATTGGTGTCAGATACGCATTCTATCCCTTTACTCTTTTATCTGTGGAACTAACATTTTTCTGCAGGTATCGGCGTATACAGAGTGATTTAGGATAGCAGAATGTCTTGAATCATTCTCCGTCCCTATTGACTACTTTGACTATCGTTTTCGAAACTGACGTTTCTACAAACTCAGTCAAAGTGGGGGCTTCTGTAGACACCTGAAAATGTCTCCCCAAAACCAAACCCGATGATGAACAACCTTTCACCGCTATTATTGGTCGGGTTGAGTATTTAATCTTTGGAGGGCTTAAATCCATGTTCTATCCAATATATTTCATAAACCAATCCAATTTCTAGCTCATTTCCCTAAACCATAACCTATTTTCCACTTTTCGTATCCACATCACAAAATCGAGCTGAATTGATTTTATGGCTATATAATTTTAATCCAATTATTATTTTGTTGGATAGGCCTTGAAATAATCTTTCCAACCATATATCATAAGCCCAATACCGAGCTATAACAAAAAAGATATGAGCAAACTCTAAACTCGGCCCAAAACCGACACCCTTATACTAAAACGACCATATCTTAAAATCTACAAATCATTTTGACCTGATTCTAATTGCGTTGGAAAGTAGAATTGATAAGACTTCCAATGATATATTATATATCTCACCGTGTCATGTGCTTTTTCCGTGTAATTTCCGCGTTTTCCCATACCGTGACACGGTGTACTGTACCGTGCCACGGAGGAAACTGCCGTGTCACGAATTTTCTCGTGTCTTTTCCGCGTAAACCCTTCACGCGTAATATCCCCCGTACCCTAGTTATTTCCTGCGTGACACGGTAGTTCACCGTGTCATGGGATTTTCCTTCGTCTGACGGTGCTGGGCACCGTGACACAGTGCCCTCTGCTGTGTCGCGGTGCAATTTTTATAGGGATTTTATCATTTTAGGGTTCCGTGTGCTCCCTCAGCTCAATTTCCCTATAAATACCCCCCTCCTTTCTGCAGTTCGGGGCACAAAATCATTCTCTCTTGCTCTCTTTTACACTAAAAATCATTTTCTCTCTCTCTCTCTCTCTCTCACATATTCTAAGCCATAAACCTATATTTCTAATTACATCATTTCTTCCTTAAGCACTCCAAGGAGTCCATACTTAACTCGAGGTTCCATCCTTAAACCAAGGAATGAAAGGTACAAATAACTGAGGGTTTGGACCAAATCAACTCTGCATTTATTTAATTTAAATTCATTTTGATTTATTTTTTATTGAAGTTACTAACAATTTATTCATGATGTACCAATTTAAAAGGAACGTGTGTAATGTGAGTAGTTAATTTAATTACTCTTATTTTATTTTATACACTTTTTGAGGCAAGCAGCTATACATGGGTTTGTGTATGTGAATGTGAAGGTTCCTAGGGGGTTTAGTTGCTGGTATAAACAAAAGGGAAAGTCTTGGGTGAATGGTAAAAGGGAGCTTGTTGATGGTGAGGTGAATGGTTTCCTAGAGTCGGTGAACAAAGAGGGGGCATGTGAGATGTATGTTACCAGTCATGAGCCAATTGAAGGGACTAACAAAACACCCTTCAAATGTATATCTGGGAATGAGCTAACCCCTGCACAAAGGAAGGAACTGAAAAAGAGGTTTGGTGGGCCTAAAGTATACAAACCCAGCCCAGAACTTAGTAAGCCCACTGAAGAAGAGCCATTTAGGAGAAGCCCTAGGTTAAAAGGCATTGTTATACATGACAGAGAGGCTGAGGAGAGGCTTCCTAGGGCAGAGAAAGTGAATGCTAATACACATAAAGGGAAGGGTAAACTCACTGCTGCAGATAAGGGTAAGGCTAAGGTTGGGGATGAGACTGGAAATTTTGCTAATTTAGTGGGAAAAATAAAAGAAAGAGTGAGGAGCTTAAGGGATGACAGTGATGTGTTTAGTGATGAGGATGGTGATACAGAGTCTTCTGATTCTGAGTTGAGTGATTTTGAGTTAGAAGTTGATGAGGGAGAGGAGGACTTATACTCTGATGATGATGAACAGTGGTTGAAGAAAAATGTAGACCATATTAACAGTGAGGTGAAAGGCAGTTTGAGGGGAGTTACTGAAGGAGGGGATCAAAGTGATGATGAGGACACAAGGTTTGACATAGAAAGAAATCTACAGAAAATTGAAGTGAGGGTTGAAGAGGAGGCAACTTGTGATTCTGATGAGCTAAAGAGTGTGGAAGGTGATTCAGATGATGATCAGGGTAGTGTTACTTGGTTTAACCCTGAGACAGACTTTGAAAGGGCTATCAAATTTGTAGTTGGTCAAAGGTTCAGTGATGTGCAAACAATGAGAAAAGCTTTGAGACAACATGCAATTGAAAATAGGTATGAGTATTACCTTCTTCACAATGATTCAAAGAGGCTAACAACATATTGAAAAAGGAAATGCAAGTGTGTGTATAACAAGAACAGTTGTAGGATAGTGAAGTGTACATGTAGTAAGGGTGTTAGGTGTAGGTTCAAGTTTTATGCAACAAGGCTTGTGAAATCAGAGGCTTGGCAAATTAAGACACTAAGGCTGAAGCATAGGTGTGTTAGGAGTAAAATGAACAACAAGGTGACAGCAGAGTTCCTTGCTGACAGGTACTTGGAGGAGTTCAGGGGCAACCCCAGATGGAAGATTAAACAGATTCAGGACAGGGCCTTGAATGACTTGGGGATCAAAATTACATACTCCAAGGCTTGGTTGGCTAGAAGCAGGGCAAAGCTTATAATATATGGCTCTTCATCAGAGCAATACTCAAAGGTTTGGGACTATGGGAAGGCACTGCTGAAATGGAACCCAGGGAGTGAGTGTAATGTGGTGGTGGATGATATTAATCAAATTGAAAGACCAATTTTTATGAGGATGTTTGTGTGCTTAGCTGCACTTAGGGATGGATTCATTTCTGGTTGCAGACCAGTAATTGGGGTGGATGGGTGCCATCTAAAAGGGGCATACCCTGGGCAGATCTTGGTTGCAGTTGGAAAAGATGGCAATAATTCCATCTTCCCAATTGCTTGGGCAACTGCAGAGATTGAGAACAAGGACAGCTGGTGCTGGTTTCTGGAGAGCTTGCTCAAGGCACTTTGTGTGTATGACCAAGGAGATGGCTTGACTTTTATGTCTGACAGACAGAAAGTAAGTGGGTTGTGTTTGTGTTTAAATTACTTTGCTTTATTTGAATTTTCTGTACACTAACTTGTTAGTTTTGCCTTGTGTGTAGGGTCTCATAGAAGCATTTGCAGATGTGGCCCCCAAAGCTGAGCTCAGATTTTGTGTGAGGCATATTGGTCAAATTTCAAACTAAAATTTCATGGTGCAACTTTCAAGGAATTGTTCTGGGCTGCTGCTAGGGCAAGCACTCTGGTAAGCTTCTATTTAGGTTCTTTTATGTCAGTTTTATGGTGAACTATAATGTATGCTAGGAACATTTAGTTTTGCACATATTTACATGTCTTTCTATTTTGTGAAAACTGTATGCCGTGTGTCTATGTTGTGTTGAATGGTTGTCATATGTGTGGTTGTATCAGTTTGAGTTTGAAGTTGCTATGGAAAGTATCAATTTTTTGGATGAAGAAGCATACCAGTGGTTGTCAAACATTGACCCCCAGCACTGGTCAAGGCATGCTTTCTCTACAAACTGCAAGTCTAACATGTTGTTAAACAACATGCGTGAGACATTTAATGCAGTGATTAGAGATGACAGAGACTAGCCTATTCTAACTCAAATGGAATGGCTTAGAAGATATATGATGAAGAGGAGTAATGACAAATGGAAGGCAGCAAAGTCTTGGGAAGGTTTACTAACCCCATTTGTCAACAAAGTCTTTGATGGGTTGGAGAAGTATGCCATGACATGTGAGGTTACAGCTTCAAGGGATGAAATTTATGAGGTGAAATACAAGGATGATCAGTGCATTGTGGATCTGCAAGAGAGAAAATGCACTTGTTATAGATGGGAGTTGACAGGAATACCTTGTGTCCATGCATTTTCTTGCATAATGGACAAAAGGGATGATCCTGAGTTGTATGTGCACCCACATTACTATAGGGTGACATACTTGGCTGCATATGAGAACCCAATACAGCCAATGCCTGGCCCTAAGAATTGGGAAAAGGTCAAGCTCAGACAGCCTTTGCCACCTATGCTGAAAGTGCAGCCAGGAAGACCTAAGGCAAATAAGAGAAAGCTTGAACCAGGGGAGGGCACTTCTGCAGCACCTGAGGGCAAGAAGCCAAAGGTGATGAAACAATGCAAGAACTGTGGTGGGTTTGGCCACTTTGCCAAAACATGCAAGGCTGAAGCAGCACCAGAACAGCCTAACCCACCTGCAACAAATCCAAAGGGTGGGAGGCCACAGATGCAGACTCCTTGGCTTAAGGAACGGAGAAAGAAAAGTGAAGAGAAAGCAGCAAGACAGGTATTTTGTGTATTTTATGACTTGAGTGTATTTAGTGGCTTTGTTTCTAAGTGTTGTCATACTGTGATTGCAGGCTGCACTGAAGTTGCCACAATATCAGCCTCCAACAACAGCACAGGCTGGGTCAAGTAATGCTGCACCTGCAACTGCTGTGTCAAGCCAGCCTGCAACAAGAACAGAGCCTTTGCCAACTCAGCCTGTTACCAGGAGCAACAGGAGCCTGAGTCAGCCCACAAGAGTGCCAACAACTACTCCTCCCAAAGTCAAAATACAGACCAGGTCCAAGCTTCATGTAATGACAAGCAAGAAGGACAAGGATCTCAATCAACTGTGACCCTAGGTCTACTCATTAGTATTTTGTAATAGACAACCAAGTTTATTTGGTAGTTGAACAATGATAGTTGAACAATGATTTTGCACAAAGGTGCCTTAACTTTTGTCTCAGCCAATGTTGTAAAACAATTTCAAACATTGTGTTGCAAGTACTAATACGAATTGTGATATGTTTCTACCAAAAAGTTCCATTTCTCATTGATTTTGTTAAAAGTAGTACAAGAAATGTCATCCCAACATCCACACATAATAATTCAACAAAACACAACATAAGTTGGGGATTTTTTTTTGTTTCTAAGCATTCCTAAATGAACCTAAGATCTAAAATACATAGCCAGTACCAAACCAAAACAACAAAACACAACAATAGCATGTACTGTGAGCATTTTCTTTGTTGTTGCATTGCTGCCATGCACTTCCTTGATCATCTTCTTCCTGTCTGAGCTAAGAGCTTTGCATTTCATCTTCAAGCTGTCAATCTCATTGAGCAAGCACCTCCTTTGTCCACTAACATCATCAACTTCCCTCTTCATGTCATTCAGCTCTCCCTTCATTAGTTTCTTGTCCAGCAGCAAGTTGTTAATCACCTCTGTTTGCCAAGGTGTTCCATCTGGTTGATCCACCCACTCAAAAGCTTTACACCCCCTTGACTCAGTCACAGGATCATAGAATTTGCAGGTCCTAAACTTGCGTCCTGGGTTCTCCCTAGTCCAAGCAGTCAGCCTAGACATTGGAACTCCAAATTGGCATTTTTTCTCCTTTGAGGGTGACATGCTAACTGAAGACATTCCCTTCTGAAATTCAGTAAGAACAAGAATGAAATTAATTGTATTTGAACACAATCACCATAATATAACCCTAATTTCAGTAGCCAATTCACATAACAAAAACCCCCAATCTAATTTAATCTTACATGAACCCTAAGTATTTTAATTCAAATTGGGGTTTAATTGACCTCACAATACGCCCAATTTCAATTACTCTTAGCAAATGCAACATAATCACGCAACGAATTGCCAAAAAATTACAACAGAAATCACGAAAATTGCTAGAGAATTAACGACAATGGCTTACCTTTTTGATGCTTGTTGTCGAGGAGTTCAATTGATTGTTTGATAATTAGAGGGTTTGGGATTGTTAAGGTTGCCCAAAAATACTGATTTGTGAAGAAAATCGCAAAAATTAATCTCCAATCTGCAAGAATTTGGTGTACACATGAAGAACTAGGTTTAAATAAAAGGGAAATCGAGAGAAATTTGGGAAAAATAAAAAACTAGCCGTTATGCTGGGCCCCACAAGCGTTTTCCGTCACCTGAGCTCAGATGAGGTGGTAAAACTGATGTTTAATTTTTTTATGAGGTGGTAAAGTAAATGTTTTTTTTTGGAGGTGGTAAATTCGACAAAGTCATTATTTGAAGGTGGTAAAAATGAAAAAACCCTTTATTTAATTTAAATTCATTTTGATTTTTTTTATTGAAGTTACAAACAATTTATTTTATGATGTAGCAATTTAAAAGGAACGCCGTAATGTGAGTAGTTAATTTAATTACTCTTATTTTATTTTATATTGCTAGTATCATGGTTATTATTATTATTATTTGATTTGACTAACGCTATTATTGTTGAATTGCTTCCAATATTAATGTTGATTCTATTATTATTTTGTTGATCACCATATTGCATGTTAAAGGGAATATGTAATTGAAAATCACGACTAATAAGATAATTTGGACAACTGGTTTAGGTTCCTTTTTAATCTTTTTGTTTAATCAAGTGATCACAAATATTTTAAAATAATGTGTGCATTAATATTCAACAATTTAGCACAATAATAGTTTGGAGCAAATTCAATCTTTGATTGCATGCCTTTGAGATCGCAGGAATCACTTTTCAGAATAAGAATCGAGTAGAGACCAATACGGGCCAATGTGACTCCATGACTCACTTCGTACCATCATCCCCAATCCTCCTTTCGTGGTTCCGAACCATATGGAGTTAGTAATCTCATGGATTATGAATGGGGTTTAACCTTCACGGGTCAATCATTGTTGCCTATCATTGTCCTTTATTCGTGGTTGCCTTTTATTATTCGTGAACGGTTTACAAGTTTCTTAAAAACTTGTTAGCGGCTCCCTACTTTCCTTGTCCTTAATCGTGTCCTCAATCGTATATGTTAATTCCCACTTCCTATGAGTGCCATGCATATTCACAATATGCTTTTAACGTAGGCGCACTTCAAACGACGCATACAGTAGTAATGTGTCCTTATTAAATAAGGTGTTAGAATTATTATTTTTTGGTGTTCAGGTGTTAGAATTATTATAAAACCAACGTAAAATGAATGTGTTGCGATTATTACGAAATATGAAGGGCTATAACTTCATTAACAATAACGAAATTCAAACATTACTAAAATTTGAAATCTTGTATTCTTAATCACGATTTAGATGCTAATATATAATCAACAATCTTGATACTTCTATTAATCAACTTTCCATTGAATTGACGATGATAAATAGCTACAAAGACGACGATAAACATAAAACGGTAAGGAAAAAGTCATTTTACAATGATGTGATAATTACCTGATTTGGGTATTTTTACCCGGCCAGGTGGCCCAATCAGAAAACGTCACGCATCCTCAGTAAAGGTGCCATTTGGACCTATGAGATGATGACACGTGGAGGGCGGACATTCTTCTGTCCTAAACAGATTGATGATCCAGCATGGACCATTCAGACGGCGACACGTGTCACCCAAAAGGATGCCCAAAGGCCTTTTGGGCTCAGTGACACGTGTCACTCAGGCATTGCCTCTGGAATGGCGGCCTTCAAGGGCCCAAATCCCGAGGCGCCGTTTTGCGGCGTGACCTAATTCCTAGGTCACCAGATCCTAGGGAGGGCACACTTTCCAAAAGGACCCTATAAATAGGGACATTCTTACATTTATGACAAGACAGATATATACGCAATACGAGACAATACGTTACTTACTACAGAGTTGTCATTTTCAAGAACAGACAGCACTTTACCTGAGCTTGGAATCCGAGCAGATAAACTTTACTTCCGCACGTTTTATTACCGAACACTTACTAACTTAATCTTCGGAGGCGAACCACCGACCATCCGGCGGTCCGTTTGCTTTGCAGGTACAGGCGTCCTTTGCTGAATCCAGTCTCAGTGTTGTAACTCTCCCAAGGGATAAAAACCCCCGAAACATTTGGTGCCGTCTGTGGGGAGAGTACCTCTGAAATGGCTTCACAAGTACCTGTACCGAACCTAGAGGCCAATCGGCCTCCAAAAGACATAGTGGTCCAAACGGACCATGATTCAGGTGACGACGCTGACGTCGAAACCTATGTGGATCCAAATGGATCCCTCATCTCTAAACGCATCCGCAATAAGGAGAGGCGGGAGCGTCACCATGACCAGGCAAGGCCAAGCAAAACTGCTGGTCAGCTAACGCGGCCGGTTGATCCTTCCCAGGCGGCAGGATCAACTCCCGTCACTCGAGATGAACTAATGACACTCCTGAGCAGCCTCAGGGGTGAAATCAAATAACTCGCCTCAAAGAAGTCGCCTACTCCTAGAAAGGAGCAGTCGGCCAAGAGGCCAGCCCAAGCTGGCAAACAGAAGTCGGTTAGGGACCGTCAGCCGACTCCTCATCCTGCTCCTACGGAGAAGGCCCTGCCCCAATTTGACCTTACTCGGCTCCGTTTCCCAGAAACGGGAACAAGAAAAGCCATCCGGCACATACAGCCGGATGGTAGCAAGAAAACATTCTCTGACGCTCGGCAATACATTGAGCAGAAGAGGACCTAGCTATCAGAGTCGGCTTCAACGTCGACTTATCATGATATCTTTCGGAATACCTCTGTGAGGTGTTCCCAGTCTGTACATGAGACTCCAGCA